GTGTATAAGAGACAGATATATATATATATATACATAATATATATATATATGTATATACATATCGCATTGTAAGAAAAGAGAAATGCATTGTTTCTCGAAGCAATCTTAAAAATGGTAAGATAATCACGAGTATAATTACCATTCGATATAGTGGGCTTATTACTTTGTTATACACACATACACATACAAAACACACAAAACTCAGAACTGTAATGTGTATAAGCAATGTCAAAGTGACCATAGTTTTCTACAGATATTTTTGAGTTATTCTGTATCCTTAGGCCACAAGCTACAAAACTTAGGAAAGGCAAATTATAATTTCCTTTAAACTAAGTAGAATAAATTTTATATATATATATATATACATATACATACAGCTGAAAAACATGATTTAAGATATAAGATTGTTTCGTCCTCAGTTAAATATAAAAAGGATATTATATCTATAACACAATATAGATTATTAATAATGCCTTGTATTTCGTTATTTTATTAATAAAATACCAAACTTGCTTTTAAGACAAATGATTACAATGAATGTATCCACAAACGGTTGATATAAACAATATGACTCCCATTTTTACATTGTGATTGATGACATATTTACATGCTAGAAATAATTACTACTGCTTATGGAATATAATTTGTTACCAGATGTAAAAAAGAAGTAATTGAAACATGTTTTATACATGATTGTTTTATGCAATATATACTATTGTATAGCATTAACAATCGCTGAAATTATTTAATTACGATACATAAATTATCTTTAAAGTCATAAAACTAATAAAATACATGAAAAATATTTCTATATATGTATATACATAATTGTTCGATCTTATAATTTGTATAAATTTATGGTATTATAACTTATGTATTATATTACAATTAATATTATATAGATAGCGTGCATGAGTACATACAAACTTATTTTTTAAAAATAATTATATATTGCGCTTTATTACATGTACACAGTAAAGTTTATGTCGAATCGCAGGAATAACAAAAACGGACTATTTTTAATCTTAAATTACTACTTACAAAAAAAAATTATGACGATACAGGTAAAGATGCTGATTCCAGACGAATAGTGTTTCTCTGAGAATTACCGTGATTTTTCTGTCGCCATTCAAGCCATCGCGTTAGTTCTGGACTTTGAGAGGCATCGTTGAGATCAGTTCGACCTTCTAACTGCTGATAATACGCTTCTCGAAGCAATCGAAAGGTCTGTATATTTTTATACGGTAATTGTGTCATAGGATCTAGATATTTGGCAGGCAACCTATCAGACAATTCAAGAGATTTTTTAATTTCTTAAAATGCTAGATTATAACATTATTTGTTTATAAATAACAAAGATAATAATATTAACGTTATTCATAATTAACATTAATATTATATGCAGAAATATGCAATTTTAAATATGAGAATATTCTTAAATAGCATTTTTTTACCGCGTGATTGCACACAGAGGCTTCAGTGGTGGCCTTGGTTGGTTCGATTTTTTAAATACATCTTGATACGACTGTTCGGTTTGAAAAGTAATAAATGTTCGCTCATAAAATTTCCCAGTTTCTTCGGCATGTACATCTTTCTTTTTAGTGGGAGCAGACAGAGCTGTGTCCGTAGATTCTTCTTTATTATTATCTTTTCCATCTGCCTTTGACTCTGTTTCGCTGAAATATGTTAAATGAATAGAATTAAAATCCATTGCTTTGTTAAATCTAATATTTTAATCGCTTTTATTTAGCGGTATTACTTTTATTGTCTTACATTTTGTCATAGAAAAACGTAAATAAATGAAATATACCTTCCTTCCTTTGGAGAGCTGTCGGAAACCGTGTTATTAGAATTTCCTGTTTTCTCATCGTCACATTCGACATTGATTTTTTCTTCATCCGCGCATGTCTCAGATAATACCATTACTGGCATAGACAATGACTGATACCTAATCGTCGGTCCAACATTCGTTTTTCTCACAGTCCTAGTAGTCTTTTTTTCATTTTCCAATTTCTGATACTTTTCTGCAAATGCAAAACAATTGTATTCATTTCTTAAAAGTACATATATTCTTAATATGGCTTTTTTTTTAAATCCACAGTCTTTCAAAAGTATGATTTTGATCTGTCGTTTTAAACTTATTTAATCTCATTTTTTATTTTCTTATTTATATTTTCCGATTAATTTTAATCGATTAGTCCATTGGAATTGACCAATCACATTTGTTGTTAAGCGAAATGATAAATGTGATTGGTCAATTCCAATAAACTAATCGTCGATGAAATTAATTGTAGTTGATCAAAGTCAGGCCTTAGACAAAGAGAAAATGCCTAAATGAAGAGTATTGTTAAATTTATTTCATACATACCCAATGACTTCGTATTAAGCTCCTCCGTTTGCAACGCTTCTTCCAGCAATTCCTCCTGAGTGGGTTTCCACACATCGTGCTTTACAACTTTTGTCTTTCGTTTCTGATCCTCGTTTCTCTCACGCAGGCGTTTCTGCGTAGCTGCCGACTTTGCGGCAGTAGAGCGGCGGATTGATTTTCTTTCTGAATAAAATATTACAGTGAATACATTGGAAAAAAAAACATTTATTTTCTTTCTGTATAAAATATTACAGTGAATACATTGGAGGAAAAAAAATCGTTTATTTTCTTTCTACATAAGACATTACAGTGAATTGTAAAAAAAGAAACAACTTATCCTAAAGTATCTTTAGTATCTGCATCACCTATGCTGTCTATGAAGATCTTATCTTGTTTCGGTTTTATCTTTTTCTCCTTGGGCGTCGATTGTGCATGCAACGTGGCAGGTTTAGGCTCCTTATACGCTTTCGTTACCAATCTGCGTTTCTTCTTCGGCCCCTCTTGCTCGGTATCGGTAACTGGCTCGTCGTTCTCATCGATGCTAAAGTCCGAGTCCACTTCGTCCTCCGCCTCGTCTTCCTCCCTGAAATTCAAACGTTTACGTACCTTGTCATGAATTTTCGTTATCATAAATGTAATTGAAGCATTACGAAGGACACAAACATGTAATCGTTGTCCTGCTCCACTTCGTCGAAGCCGCCGTACGTAGTTTTGTAAAAATCATCTTCCTCCTCTTCGTTTAGCAACCTTGCCATCTTATTGCCAGCGTTCACACGCTTTTCCCTTGTCGCAGCCATCGTGAAATTTTCTGGCCAACAACTTTCGACACAACCGACACGTGTATGTTATCTAATTGTGCCTTACTCCCGAAAGATTCTGAAAGGGACAAAATGCAAAAATGTTAGATTATTTCAATCATTAATAAATCATTCCACTGTCAAGTTTAGAGGTTATACATTTAGATTAGAACCTTCAGTCTCGGGATATCGAGTCCTACCTTCGGTCTATCTTTCCCCAAGCTTGCACACAATAAGGATTATTATTCTATCACGTGTAAAGAGTTCACGAATACTTATATTTTGTTCATAATATTTACTGTTATTTAAATGCTATCAAACCGCCTCATAAACATCTCTCGTAGAAGCCAAGTAAAAGCCGAACTGCATTATCGTAGCGTAGTATGGTACATCGATATTCCTGCCATCTTACAACTCTATGGCGAACGAAAGTTTCGAAATTACTCGCGATCGTAATTTTCCCCTTTCCGAAAGCATGTTTACTTTACAGATGTTCTCGTCGTTGTCATCAGTTGTCACTTCACATTACGTAACTCGTATGCGGTGAGGCGTGAGCCGTACAGATAAGATACAGACAATCGTGGCTCGCAAACTGTGTATATTTTTAAAAATTGCGTACGTATTTTTCGCTGCGATAAATTAATTGTTTTCTTCAATTAATGGGCATAATTTCATCAATATCAAAATTGAGGAGGGCTACCCCGAATAATTGCCAAAAATTGTAACTATACATTCCAACGAATTGCATTTAAACGTTATAAATATGTCGCGTTACAAAGTTCGCTTTCCATTTGGCGACACATAAGCTGACACAAGCGTCATTTTATCTTTGTTGTCAACATGGATGAAAAAAGACAGAATGACACTTGTGTCGCTAAATGGAGAGCAATCGAGAGTACAAAGTCAATGTAAGGTCAATCAGTCTGCACGATAATGGTTTCTGATTATTAAATTCATATTGCAATTTTACAGAAACATATTTTTCCACTATATATAAATGAAATTATGCCTATGTGTACTTATGGAATATTCTTTGCTGTAATACACATCTATATATTAACTATATGTGAATATATTTGTAATATTTATAATTCCTCTCCAATGTACATTTACATTGTTTAAGGAATAAATAAAGTGTGAAGAAAATGAGTTTGCTTTGCTATTAATGTTACACGTTAATAATTTCAATGATAAATAACAATGATAGTTCAATAATAATGTGATATGAAGGTTTTTTTTAGGATTTTTCTAATATCTGTAACGTTCTTCATTTAATTCTTCGTTCTCTCGTGTTATCTAATCTCCATTTTTCCAGTTTGGTGCAGTGGGAGGGAATTGCATTTATAGAAGCTTGAGTTTCAAGATTATTCAGTTGAAAAAACAAAGCCAGTAAGACTGCAATCATGACTGAACAAAACATCAAGTCAGTGGACCAAATTTTGGAGGAATATGTACCACAGGCCTTATTGGATGAAAAACTAAAACCCATTCTGTATGGGCGTGCATTTACGTAAGAATTTATATATTGCAAAATATATTTATCTTTTTTCTCTATGTTTATATATATATATATATATATATATATATATATATATATGAAATTTTTATAAGATTATTTCTTTTATTTTATTATATTGGTTAAAAGAAAGTATTAAACTTTGTGATAAATGTGTACATTTCCATTTAGCAACTTCAATCTTATAATTATTGCAGCTGCAATAATAAATAAGTAATAATAAATAACTTGTGGGAATTTGTTTATTGCAAAAATTATACGAGGTATCTCAGATTTTAATTTAATAAAACTGTAGAAGCATATTCTACAAATAAAAATAAAAAGAATACTGAGGTTTGGCTAAATACTTTATAACAAAGTTTATAATAAACAAATATTGAAAAATGTTTGTTTATAACTTTGTTAATAAAGCAGTTCTAGTCAAACTTCATATAACATTTTTCTTCTTATTTTCATTTGTAGAATATGCTCCTGCAATATTGAATATGTACTTGATCAAAGAATATAATGTTAAGAATATAAAAATATACAAGAAGTGTATAATGTAAAGTTCTTCATAAAACATAATTTTTTGAAATAGAGATCCTATGTTCATTCTATGAACAATATAAATTCTATAATATCTATAATATAATGATCCTTTGATCGCGCGTACAAGATTTAAGTAATACGTTTACATGTTATTCTTAGACCGTTGGACATAGGATTCGAAAATGAACATTTCGAAGTAAGAGGATGGCAGATGCTTAGTCAGGTCCAGGAACAAATTCGTCCCCAACGTCTGGTTCGCGTTGGACTGATACAACACAGCACAGTAGCACCGACAACGGATCCTGTTCAAACTCAACGAAATGCGATACATAATAAAATTAAATCATATATTGAACAAGCGGCACAGCATGGCGTTAACATTTTATGTCTCCAAGAAGCATGGAGTACGTGTGAAATCCATTAGTTATTTATACATAATACCATGTAAATTTGCGTAATAATCGACCTGTGCGATTATTGCAGCTATGCCGTTTGCTTTTTGCACGAGGGAAAAGTATCCGTGGTGCGAGTTTGCGGAGGATGCCGAAACTGGGCCTACGACCGTGTTCCTATCTCAGCTTGCTGAGAAATACAACATGGTAATAATATCGCCGATTTTGGAGAGAGATTCTGCTGACGGTGACACTCTCTGGAACACCGCCGTGGTGATCAACACGGACGGTACGGTCCTTGGGAAACACAGGAAGAATCATATTCCTCGTATCGGGGATTTTAACGAATCCACCTACTACATGGAGGGTAATACAGGACACCCGGTGTTCGACACTCCTTTTGCACGCATCGCGATTAATATATGTTACGGACGTCATCATCCATTGAACTGGTTGATGTTTGGCTTGAATGGGGCGGAGGTGAGTTACAGATCATAAGTATATATCGCTTTCTCTCGTCGATCCTTTACGGCTGAAGATTGTGATCTACATTTTATGCAATTATTCGGGAACGTAGGAGCGGGAATGAATTTTATCTATGACAATACTTCGTTTATACGATATTGAAAAATGTATGGAAGATTATGAGAAGATTAAATTATGCACCAAGTACTGCATTGCTGATTATCGAATTTTTTAAAACTAAGAGTCTTTTATATTGATTTTTTATAATAAATAAATTCGCGGCGTGTACTACACTATTTTTCATAAAATTTGAAATCGATTTTCTTTAGCGGAAATATGCATCTTTCCTCTACTTTCCTAATTTCACAATCTAATTAATATCTCACCCAGACTTTCTTAGTCAATGTAATCTTTATGTCTTTCAGATCGTTTTTAATCCATCCGCCACTATCCAAGGATTATCGGAACATTTATGGCCAATCGAAGCAAGATGCGCCGCGATAGCAAATAATTATTACACTTGCGCTATCAATCGCGTGGGAACTGAGGTTTTCGCAAGTGAATTTACCTCTGGTGATGGTAAACCAGCGCACAAAGATTTCGGACACTTTTATGGCTCTAGTTATATTACCGCTCCCGATGGCTCGCGAACTCCGGGTCTTAGTCGGCACAAAGATGGACTTCTCGTTGGAAAATTGGATCTCAATATGTGTCGGCATGTAAAAGATATATGGGGATACAGGGTAAGTATTTTTCATACTCTTATCATTCGTTGTATTATATATATAATAATATATAAAATTAATCTTGTGATTCAAGAAAACATTTAATAATGCTGTAGATATTTAGTGAACGGAATTAATTTATATAGTAAATACTTTAAATCCATTCAAAAACATGAATAATTTGAAATAAGGAGATTTAAATGAATTATTGAAATATGATTAATAAAGAGTATTTTATCGAATATATTCTAAAACTTTCTTTTTTTTTATTCTGGACGCTTAAAAGTTATGGACATTTATTGTAACACGTACTACATTGACTTCTTGATTTCTTTTTTTATTTTTTGGAAAAAATACTTTGCAATAATTACCGCGTCGATACCCACTAGCCTAAAATATCTTAAATATTGATTTCTCATTACCCCCAACTATGTATATTAAAAAATATATAAATTCTATTTTGTTTATTCTATCTTGTGAATCTTTCAGATGACACAACGACTTGATATGTATGCTAAGGAACTTGCTGAATATGTTTCAAAGCGGAATGATAAGCGAGATTAAAGAAAAAAAATTGGCGATACAGACTTTGCAAAGTTATACTTAAGTTATAATTAGAAATTATGACTTAATCATATAAATATTAAAAATCGATAAGTTAATAAGTTTACATGTTTTATCAATTTTAATAAATTTATAATGTACTGGTACATCGTCTATACCATTAAGTGAAGTCAACGTTCATATTTTATAGAATAAGATTCAATTCAATAGTATACTTTGCGCTTTAAGCGTAGCGTCTCCAGTTGAAGTTTAAAAAAAAAATATATATATATATATATATATTTGCACTGAATTTTTAATAAAATGTATGTTTTTCTATTTAAAAAAATGGTTTATTCCATGTGATTCTGTTAAAACAAAGTTCATATACATAAATAATTTGCATTAAAAAAAGTTACAAAGCTATTTTATTTGTGCAATAAGATTTAATAAGATTTGCAAAATTGATATAAACTTGCAAATTTTATATAACATTTGCATCAGTTCAAATTTTATAATATAATTTATGATAGCATATTTTATACAATATTAATATTTAAAATCTATCTGCAGATGTGTCCTCTTTGTTTTGATAAATTAATATAATAATTTAATAACTTTATTCTGTGAATTAAAATTTCTTTTTATATAACACATTGAAAAATTTTGCAATTTTTTAAATAAAAATGTCATTAATTTAAGTAGTAATTTGTCAAAGCAAAGATCAAGAACTATATAAAAAGTATCAACTATAAATTAATGTTTTTTGATTTTATACAATAACTAATACATATAACTTCTCAGTAATATTGCTATTATATTATTATGCTGGACATCAGTACTATAAAATCAATTCAATTTATAATATATTCTGGATACATATATATTTTAGAAAGTTATAACTTTCATGAATTCGAAAATCGTATCAATTACAATATTGTTTTCTCATTATTTATTTATATATGTATGTATGTATGTATGTATGTATGTATACACATACACATAATAAAAACAGATTTTTTATGAAGATAAAGTACAACTATAAAGTAAAATAAAGTATAATATCATTATAAAACTTTCAGTTACATACCGATATTACTTATAACAAAATCATTTTAATCCTTAGTTTAAATTATTTAAAACTTTTCAGATTATATATTATACATTACATAATTTCTAGTTATTTAATTATTTTTTAAACTAGTTATATATTTTACTATATCATATTTACAATATTTATCCAGTGGACATATTGTCTAACACCGCATTATGTGTTTGTTTACGGTAATGTAAAGCTTCTTGATAAGCTTTCTTTACGGCTTTTCTATCCGCAGGTTTTCGCGATTCGATTAATTTTGCTTCGTCCACTTCTTGCGATACTCCAAGTTTTTCTAATTTCTCACCTGGCAGCCATTGCCTGAAAAATATTATTACATTGAATATTTTTTTTGTATTTTGCAAATTATGTATTCGCTTTTATAAAATTGAAAAATTTTTTTAATATTTCACAAAATTGCAAAGTCTGTATCTTCCTGCTTCAAGAATGCGATTAACGATTTTATCGTATATGTATATATGCACAATTTTATATCTTATATATGACAAATAAAATGATATTTGTTTTGAAAATTGATTCTTTTATAAAAAAAATTTTTAATTTTAAAAACGTTTGGCAAAATTTTTTATAATTAGACAAAGTTAAAAAATTTATTTATCTTTTAATTCCCATTAAAAATGCATATTAAATACTTATGATTAGATATCTTTTACGTTCCTTCATCAAGACTAAGAATAATTACCATGTGCGTTTTGTGTCGAAGAAAAGCACAAGAAAAACTGGTTCTTTGTAATTGTCTGCAAGCGCCAAGACATCATCAGGCGGTGCTGGTATCGGTACCCCTTTATGTACAGTGCCCCGAGGTGTGTTAGGATCAATGATCAAGGCTGGATACCAAGGATATCCACGACATTTAGCCCATACGAGCTGCAAAGCTTCTAAGCCGCTACCAGTGCTCGTTTGTTTGTTCTCATTTTCTTTTTTTGTATCAGTAATATCTTGTTGCTTCTCCCCTTCTACATCAGGAGTAGTGGATCTACTCGTGGGGCAACTACTACAGCTTGATGATTGGCTTTCCCCTTCACCTACGTCACTATCCATTGCTCCAGTCCTAGAAATATTAGTCGTTTATGCAACTTTTTGTGATGTAACACAAATTATTAGTATATCAATTTGAAAATCAAAAAAGCATTATTCAAAAAAATGTTTTAATATATATTCTTGTTTCGTTTACATTGTAAATATTTCATAGACTTGCAAATTTGTTACAGACATATTTATGTATTTGTACAGTATGTATTTATATTGTATACGACTGCTTGTAATTATACTATATTCCTTTTCATTACCTATATACTTTAAAACTGTCACTTTGTTTCTTTTTATCATCCTCCGAAGAAAACATTTGGCCGCTTTTAGCATTACGCGCTCTAGCTTTGCGAGTGAACAACACCGCTGTTCGCCTATTTACACCACCCCCGCCAATCTCCTTCTCGCTGGACTGCGATTCCGTTTCCACGCGATTACGATTCGATCTTTCTCTCTTTCTCGACTTAGACCCGACTTGTTCGGATTCAGAGACCGGATCGAGCTCAGGATAATCTTTGCGAATCTGTTCTATCAAGCTTCCACCTTGTTCTTTCATCTTCATTCCTGCTCGATAAAACATGGTATCTTTGCGATTATATGCCAGGCAATTATTCACCATTAAATTGAAATCAACCTCGAAAGCCGTGATGGAGCCATATTCATGCTTTTCTAATTTTGCCTGTAAGAAAAAAATATGTCATATAATTATGGATTATATTTTGACCAAGTAGATTCGCGAAATGTTTTAATAAGTATAAATATACAGTGTTAAAAAAAGCATTCAGCAATTGTATGGCAGAGAGTACACATCATACTGAGTGAAAAAATCTTAGACAAACGCAATGTATAATTGTAATTACCTGCATAGTAGAGAGATCCATAGGATGTGATACTATTTCGAGATAATCCGGAACTTCTTTGATATTAACTGGTTGCCCAAATACATCATTCGTATCTTTCGCCTTTATAGCTTCTAACAATGCATGTAAAACACTTTCCATTGGTCGCAATTGTAGCCATAAACATTTTTCCTTTCTGCAATCAGTTTTTCTCAAAATTAACATTAAAGAAAAAAAATACATCTTTTGTGATATATAAAATTCTGTTAAGAATTTAAAGCGTTTTTTTTTCTTTTAAGTAAACTTATAGTTTTATATCATATTTTATTTTATTAGTTAATTCTTAAAAAATATATTAAGACCGATTTTTATCAATAAATATGTCTATATCATTCATGATGTGTTGAAAGTATACTTACACTTTGATTAATTCTTTCTTTAATTTTTCACGCTTCCGTACCAATTCACATAACAATCGGGCACGTTCCAAATCTTGACGTAGACACTGCCAATATTTAAGCTGACGATACAATTCTTCTCGCAATTCGCTATCATGCGTCGGCGAAGAGGGGTGTTCCCCGAGCGGAAGTGGTCTAGATTGTGGATGAGAACTTTGCAATCTTCTAAGAAGTGGAACACCGTTTCGGTATTGTCGTTTCAGAGTCCAATAGGCAATAAGACGTTGTATCAATTGACTTCTTTTTGGTATTCCTTCCGCTAAACTAATTAACATAAAAGTAACATAGCAATCCATTAAAATATTGTCTTATTATACTGATTGTGTTCAAACTGCTATCGTTAATTGTAAGTAAAAATAAAATTATTTTATTACCTAGCAATTTCTCTGATTCTCTCAGGCGGTATGGTGGGGATGGAAATAACAGGTGCTGACGAGCTTTTCTTGTTGGCTATCGCTCTCCTTCGCGCATCCACAGGATTCGTGGAAGGCTGATAATCAACAGGTGTATGCGCTTCGCAATAAGCTGTTTTTTGCACGAGCATTGGTTCACCATTAGCAGGCTGTACCGTTCTCATCCGCATGCACAGACCAGCCTGTTGAGCACAAGTCACATGGAATGCAGCGTAACAGTTGCTCTTGTGACACTGAATGCACGCGCCAGCCCCTTTGCGCTTACACACGCAGCACGTGAGCTTCCAGCGAGCCTGTGGTATACTCTCTATACTGTCGATGGGCTCTAGAAATACAGTGTTGGCGAATCTCACTTCTGGTATCCATAGAGCGCATACCACATGAGCCCATGAAGCAGGACGATCGGTCTGTTTGAAGGCGCCGCCTCTGTTCGGACAGAGGACGCAATCTACCGCTCTGGATGGACTCTGTAGGCACCTTCTACACAACCATTGTCCCTCGGGTATGTACGGTACACCGTAACAATCTTGATGAACAGCAAGATTACACATATCGCAGAACAGAATCGCATTGCTATTCTGACATTCGCCGTCCATGCAAATGCAACAGACGGCGTCTTCGTCTGCAGCAGTACCACCGCCGCCGTTACTCTGTTGTTGGAAATACGACTCTTTCTCTAGTCTGTCCATCAAAAGCTCAAACGTATCGGGCTCCAATGCAGGTGTTAATCCAGAGGCCAGCCTTCTTTCGTTCACGATAGAAAGCCATGCCGTGTCTTCTTCGTCCAAATCGTATTCTACTTCTCCTGTCGAGATGATATTTCAAATATACTTTTAAATTGATTTATAATAACAACGATATGTAGAAAGCAAAAATTCATATTAAAGTAAGAATCTAACAGATTTAAAACAGTATAATATATGAAAGACGTCGCAAGATATTGTAAATTTAATTATTATTAATGAAATTAATAATATACTGCAATATATTACAATTAAGCAGCATTTTAACACTATATTATATAAACAATATTACACAAATCAAAAAATGTATCCTACCATCAAGCTCTTCGCCACTGCGTTCCATAAATCTAATATAAGAATTTGGAAGTGGTTCAGTCTCTCCTAATTGATCCTCATAGCCTTCTATTTCCTTAACGCTGGCGACAGGTAAAGAGCTCAGAATATTTTTGTCTTCTTTCTCCTTTTCCAGTGATGCCACATTACTTTTTTGCACTTTCTCGTCGCACATACTTGCATCCATAGAAATTATAGGGATTACATCTAAGATAGCTAACTTAATTGACTTGTTTCCTTCCTCTCCTATGGGATTTACCTTTAAATATCAAGATATCAATCGTATCAATACAAGTGATTCTATAAATTATTGTTTGATTGTCATATACAGAATATAAATTATTTAGCAATTTATGTATTTTTTGCCGTAAAAATAATGTATAAAATAGAATATATACCAATATTTGTATTACTGAAATAGTAAATTAAACAGTAATATACTCAATCATCCCAAGTTTTGTTCATTAGAATTTTTGTACTAATTATTTGCATGAAATTTGAGATTTCTAATTCGACATTAAAGTAAGCACTTTTCTATTAAATTTTTACTAGTAAAAAGAAAATTGTATTTCTCGTAAGGTTAAAAAAAAAAAAACAAGTTAAATTGAACATGTTTAGCATCATACCAAAACAAACTTTGTTGCCTCCTGGGTGCTGAGGGTCTCCGCGTTCGAAGGGCTCGCGCTTTCGTTGGGTACACCCATTCTGCTTCGCCCTATCTTCTTATTCTTCTTGTTCGACTGCGGCGTATTCATCCTCGTTTCGATTTACGATAAACTCCGCGTATTATTCGGCGTCGACCGTCGGTGGTCCGGCGGACGTGCGTGTGTCGGTCGTTCTGGTTAACCTGCCGTGTGCGACCTGCCGCGGCTCACAGTACCGCGTACGTTTTGTGCCAGTGACAATTGAACTTCGACCGCCGATCGTGGCACGCGGGGGCAGTCATCTCCCCTCAAGTCAAAGTAATTCACGGGGAAGATGCCGTTGTCGCGTGTACAGAAACGTATACGGAGTAGTCGGCGAAAATCGGCGCCAGAAACTGCGAGAGTCGGTAGTGTCGGCACTCGGCACCACGTTTGAATGAACGTTGCCGAAAAGACGCGACTGCCAACCTCACAAATCGATACTCCCCTTTGCGCGCGTCAGCCTCGTCGAGCGTGTCGATTGGCCGCCGGACGGGGAACGCTGGACGAGTTTCAGTTACTCCCTAGCCGCTGGTCAATCTCTCGGCGCGACGGCCATTTGTTCGGCGCGAGTCGCCCGCCGTGTGTGTGTGACCTGGTGTGACCACGGTGTCACGTGATCCCCGCGATCCTCGGGTGGATTCGTAAATGATCGCTCGCCCCCGCCGCGTACGGGGCGCTCGAGTTGCTCGGCCGCGGAGTTATGGAGGGGGGAGGGCAAAAGAGATCTAACTTTACGTCAGTCACATCAGCAGTATTCGTTCTCGTGCCCGGAGCTCTGGTGGTCTACTTCCTCGAGTCGTAGACGAGAGAGTTGGGTGTGAAGAGTTCTCCCCGGGAAGGACCGTCGCCGTTGCGCCGTCGTCATCCTCGTACCCTTCCTCTCCCCCCCCGTTAGTAATCCCGTCGCCTCCATCTCTCCCTCGCGCGTATATCCCCGTCTCTCCCTCATTTAATTCCCCTCAATTCTTTCGCTCCATCTCTCTCCCTCCTTCTCCGCCTCCTCTCCTCTCTCACTCCTCTCTCTCTCTCTCTCTCTCTCTCGTATCGCGCGTTATTGTGAAACAGTGTGAAACGCGAGGCGGGCACAGCGGTTCCGCGAAGCGGGATTTATTATTTGCGAGCGCGAGTGGCCGAATGTTCCGCTGAGAATTATGTGGAATAGTGACGCAGAATTGGGATCGGTCGCGCGTCAAGTCAGCTGACATATTGCGCCCTGCTGCACCGCAACAGCCTTCGGTAAGTGTCGCAATCCCGTACGCGCTCTCTACCCCGCGGCACGGCCGCTACCCCGAACTCGCCACGGACTATTTTCGGTCCGGGATAGCCGTGAGAGACGGACGACTATTTCTCCTCCTCCTCCTCCTCGTGTTCTTCATCTTCGTCCTCCTCTACCCTCCTCTCTCCCTCCCCCTCGCTCCGAGACCTTCCACCTCGCACCTCCTCGCGCGCACACGGCAGCTCGAGCAGCACGTATTTTCCGAGCGGAGCTCGTTTTCTCTGCTCGCGCGTGGTCCCCTCGCCGCGAGTTACGTGCGCGTAATTAACTCCGTTCGAGACGACGACGAGCCCGGGGAGTAGAGAGGCCGCACCAGCCGTGGCCGCCGCCGCGCCACGCCACGCCACGCCGCGCCGCGGAACGGCAGCGGCGGACGCGCGCGTAGGACCCGCGTCGACGTGTATAATATAAGTGGCCGCGCGCGATCCGCGAGCGGAGAGACGGACAAAGGAACGACGCAATTTTGCGGCTTAAGTGCGTATTCAAGGATGGAAGCCATGTCCCTGCCGTGCGTGCCGTGTGCCTGCCACCGTGCCGACCCCGTGCGTCCGTCCGTCCGTCCCTCTGCTCGGCTCTTTGCATGCATGTGTGGCTGAGGCCATCTCTCTCTTTCTTAACCTCTCCTTCGCCGCCGCCCCCTTCGCTCTCTTTTTACGTACGATACGTGCCTCTCTTTCTCTCGCTCACTCTCCCCCCCCTCCCCGCCTTTCTCGAACGTCGCCTCTCTTTTTTTCACTGTCGGTCCGCCACGACGGCAGCGCTCCGCATCTGATTCGAATATGCGTATACCTAGACGTCACGAGTGCCTCTATCCGTTACTCTCTCGAATAGAGACGCTTTCCGAAAGAAGCAAGGTAATTGTAGCAAGATAATTGGGTCCTGCCACCGCGTGAGATAAGAGCGTACCCCGCACGCCGCGCAGGGTCCCTTATTTACCTCGCTCGTGATTTTTATTTATCTCCCAACGCGCCACGCGAGGAGGTGGGAACGCATGTCGAACGTCGTCGTCGTCGTCGTCGTCGTCACCGCCGCCGCGCTAGCGAGAGTTTCGTCCGAGGGTATTTGCCGCGTCACGCGGCCAATTTTCGGTCGATTAGTGTCCAAGACGCGGATGCACTTTTCTTCTCGGGAGAGAGAAAAGAAAGGGGGAGAAAAAAAAGGACGCCCGGGTTCCGGTAACGGGTTCGGTTCGTGACGCATGCCGTGCGTTTACGCGCTTACGCCATTTCTCCTTGCCTCTGCCTCCTCCACCCGCCCCTCCCCGCTCATCCATCCTCTCTCGCTCTCTTTCTCGCCGACGCACTTCCCTTCAGGTGGCCCTTCGGGCATTCCCTCCCCTCCGCCGTTCGTATAACTCGCCTCGTTGTTTACAATCTTTCCTTCTGGCTCGGGCGAGAGTCTCTCGGAATCGCGGAATCGCGGCCGCGCTGCCCCGACCGAGAGGCCCCCGGGACGGGTTGCCCTCGGTGGTCGAACGGAACTCTCTCGCCGCGTGTTTCCCAGCGTAGCGCGCTCGTGCGCTCGCGCGCGCGCGCGCGTGCGGTGCGCCTCTCCCGCGGCCTTATCAAGAATAATTTCTCGTATCTGCACCGCGGCACTTCCTCTCTCGCGTATACGCGTATATACACTTTACCTGACTCGCGATCCGCTCGACTTTGACGCCAGCCGTTTGCGCCCACGTCATTACACGCGTTCGTTCTGTCTCTCGTTTTCTCTCTCTCTCTCTCTCTCTCTGCATGCTTTGAATATGGATACATAACACACATACACAAACACACACTCTTGCGTATTAGTTTCACATTTTTATACTGTACGTACGTTTAATTTTTTTTTCTACTTTTTTATAAGTTCTCATTATTTTTATATTAATTATTAGTTTCTAAAAGTCATGTTGAATGATATATGTGATTTTTTGTTTTTTAATTTTTCATCGTTTTTATATTAATTTGGTTTCGAAACGTTTCACAACGAGCGTTTCAGCGCTTGAGAGGACGCTTCATCTTACAATTAGAGCGCTTAATAAATAGAGATATCTCTTTTTCTTCCACTTCTTTTTTTTCTCTCTCTCTTTTAATTGTAAACCTAGATTTTTTTCTGAAATAAAAAATTCTCGGAAAGAATAATTCATACGCGATAGTACAGCAACGCGAGCTTTTCTCTACTTCTTGTTAGTGAATGAAGCGTGAGTCTTGAAGTTTAGGTATTAATTGAAATATATCCATTGCGAATACATCTGTGTATATTTATGTAAAAGAATAAATGCGACATACCCTCTTTCGTGTTTAAAGGGTGTAAATAGCACCTCTCATTTATTTTATATTTATGCGTATACATTAATACTTCTAAATTATAAAATTTCCGATGAATCTTTTTTACTTAAAGTAGAAGCGGATATTTTAGTTTTATTTACGTGTAAATGCTGTTCTTTGAAACTATTGTATATTCATTGTAACTATACAGATACTATAGAGAACTAATTTAAGAAGAGCAATGGTTATGGCCTCATGGCGAGGCGCAAATCGTTGCTGAGTTATCTAACACTGAAAATTAGAGACATCAACAACATCGATGCATCGAGCCTCGGGGATAGAGTTAGATAACGAAATTATTTTATTTTATTTTATTTTTTAATTAAATTGAATCAAATTTGTTCCTAATAGATATTCAATCTCCAAGCTAAGACGGTTTAATGCTAGAAGTTAAAAATTAAGACCGAAGGGGATGCGGATCTGCCGCGTAGTCTTTCCGCTGAATCAAATCCGTCGTGAAACGTGAGATTTCCTAGGACGTTTCCCCTCATGACGTTGGAACGTCCTGCGCGAGCCGCCTATTTTTGATACACTCGATTAGAAGGCTCGCCGGACGAGTTTAATAGACGCGCTCCTCCTTTCCTCGGTGCGTTCCTGCTTTCAGATGCGTCCGCATCGTACTTTACATCGCCGTTAACGTCAATCGCGGCGTAACTCTTTCCGCTGCATCTTGCAAGCTTTTTTCTTTTTCGTGGCCATCGTAACGGACCGCGTCGCGAGCGATAATGAATTCCGCCTCCCCTTCGCCCTCCGCGCGTTCTGTTTGTGTGTATAGATATAGATCGGTGCACCCTGTGATACAAGTTTATCTATCGCATCTTATTTTACTACGCGCGTCTTTATAGCCACTGAAAAGATTTTTTTATATCTTTTCCTATTTGTCTATTTCTACCACGCACATCATATTCAAAATTCTCTATTATCTTATGTACGTAGACTGGCGTCAAAGCCGGAACGGATCGAGTCAGGTAAAGCGAAATTATACGCGAGAGAGTAAGTGCCATGGTGTAGATAAGAGTTTTACATGTTGTATATTATATATTATATATATTACACATAATTATATATATATTACATATAATATAATTATATATATATATATATATATATATATTACAAGTAATTTTTGTAAGCTTTTCCGTATTTACATTAATTGTATTGATGATATTTCTCATAAGCTTAACTTTTTCAAAATTTTTGCTTTCAAAAATGACTTTAATTATATTTTGGGGAAAAAAAAAAGAATAAAAATGAAAAATAGATGAAGATAAATAAAAAATAAATTGAATACACGTGCATATTCTATTTATAGTCATTACAGAAAAATACTCACGTTATTTATTTACATTCCTTTGAGGAATCCAGCATTAGATATATAAATAGATTGTATCTTTTTAATTTTTAATATCGAGTAATAAAATCGGTAATTTAAAAAATGCAATATGATCTTCCATTATCGTATTAATATTAAATGAGAGATCTTTTTTAAAATGAATATATGATGTTCGAACATTCAATATATTTTACTCTTCTTGGATCTCACAAATGAGAATGTGTGATGTTTGATCACTTTGTCTACATCTACGAATGACAATTAACGTTGCAGTTAGCGCGTTCTAAATTTGCTATTTCGCTCTGCCTTGTCTTGTTACGTTCTTTCAGGAGGTTTGTTTAATATAAAAATAAATATATCTTTAACACGTCTTTTCTCCTTCCTTTCTTATTCCGTATGCTTCTCTTTCCTACAAATTTTTAAGTCTGCGACAGTATAATACAGCTGTTGTTTAATTATGAAGAATGACAAAAGTAAACTTCTTGATGATCTTAATGTTGC